GGATATTTATCTTGCGCGTTCGCTCTTTATGGTGGTTATTATGGACAAGTAATGCCATTTAATGAATCAAAGGAAGTTACACTGATTTGTGTCGTTGTGTATCCTTTATATGTATATATTTCTTGATTTATTGCTATTTTACCTATTTTCATTATTAGAAACCCTTGACTATGACACTACAACTTATGTACCTTATAGATACTTTATTTTAAACTTGATACTGGTAATTTACACATTCATATTTGAAAAAGATATCATATTCTTGGGTGAAAAAAATACATCAGAAATGAAAGAACGTCTTACGATTCACACAAATACCAAAAAGTACTCTGATATTTATAATATCACTTTTGAATTTCATGGAAGTAATTCATCAAGTAAAACAAAGCACAAAATAGAGAAATCCTTTGGTAATTGGTTTGATGTAAATGGATTATTGAGTACAGAAATATTTGAGAGAGAATTGGCCGATGGACTGGAATCTGTAAGGAGTGGAAAATTACATATTCAATAAATATATCCGCTTATTGGTCGTAGATAATTAGGGAAACAATTTCTAATTGGATTTAATCCTTAGTGTGCCAGATCTGTTTTACATTTTCTTAATTAAATAATTTGGCTTATAAAGTTTGATTTTTTTTTTAAAAAAAAAATACCGATCGATGATGGGCAGCAATTGAAATTGGTTACATTTATTTTTTTATATTTAAAATAAAACTGTCAATGTTATGTAATCCGACTTTTGTCAAGTTAATCCACCATGTAAAATAATTGCGCAAATCATATATGAATTGCAAGCTTATATTTATCACATTGTTCAGATTTTTTTTACTGCCCATAACTAATATCATCTAAAGCATTATTTAAAATGTAATCCTCCATTAATAACATTGTTATTTCCTGTCTACGCAATCAATCGTGCAGTCACAAAATCCCAACAAACTTTTAAATTTTTTCAGTTTTTTTTCGCGCAACAATAACTGTTCATTCATAAATTCACATTCACGTTTTGTGATTTGATACTTTGCCCACTCTGATTTGTATTCCAGTTCCAACAATTTTTCCGCAGTAAGTACATTTCTGTCATTCTTATCAACGATAACTTCCTTCTTATCAATGTTTGTTTCTTTCTTATCATCGATAACTTCCTTCTTATCAATGGGTGTTTCTTCCTTATCCATGGTTGTTTCTTTTTTCTCAATGGTTATTTCTTTCTTATCAATAGTTGTTTCTTTCTTCTCAATGATTGTTTCTTTCGTATCCGCGGTTGTTTCTTTTTTACCAATTATTGTTTCTTTCTCACAAATGGTTGTTTTATTATCAATAACATTTTCTTTACTATCAATGATGGCCTCTTC